TCTATGTTCTAATCTATCTCTCAACCAATCTTCATCATATCCGTACAGTCGTTAGAGTTATAAATAGTGTAACTAACACGACTTTCTTTTATATATAGGATATACATATGTACTTATTTGATAACTAAATTTTATTGAATAAAAATACCATACGTATTAATTAAGAATGAATATACGATTGAAGCACTCACGAAAGTAATCAAAAGTAATGAAAAAGATTCAATACTCCAACACAGCTAGAACAATTTTAACTAAGCTTAGTTGCGAACCACAGCAAAGAAACTGGCTTTCAAATTAAATAAACTGCATCGAAATCAGTCAAGCCGTTTCAAAGCTATTATGAAACACACACACATACATACATAGTCTTAGAAGTTAAATTTATTACAACCTTACATTTTACTTCTGGTGTTATTTTATCAAAATCTAAATTTCATTATTTGGCTGAGAGTCTTTGTTACACATTAAATAAAATATTTCGATGAGTTTTTGTATCAAAATAACATATATACATATAATAAAATAATATTTTTGTGGACCAAAAAGGTTATATATGACGTTGGCAGAATTATTTATAACTTACGGCATTATCAATCACATTTCGAAAACTATTGCGTGTCAATGATAGCTGACATTTAAATTGACAAGTCATCACTCATATTACTCATAAGTTGTTAGAAATAAAATTATTATGGAAGTTTTCATACTATTTAACTATAATAACATAATTTTAATTATAATTATTAAGTAATTTATCAAATTATTACTATATACGATTCGACTAATAATTGACATTTGACAGTTGTTTTTTTTTAATCACAAATTTTAAAAAGGCAATGAAATTAATCCATACAGCCATAGAGATATAAAAAAATGTGCATATTACATTCAGCCAATGTATAAAGATAATAAATTATTTTATTATACTTGGACGACATTAATTAAATAGTATTATAATGGAAACTGTCAAGTTACTTTGGTTTTGAGCAATGCGTCGTTGGCCGATAGCTTAATGTGAAATGATTTCGCGATAAAAACGAAAATGCTATGAATATATTAATTTTTATTTATAGCTACGATATTTATGTACTGTTTTTTTGCTGTAAATTAAGGGCTTGTATATATACATATATATATTTTATATGCTTGTCTGTGGCACTGCAATCTATTGTATAAAAAAATAAGCAACTATTTTGTTAGATATATTATTTATTTTTATGGTTTTTATTTTGGACACTGCTCAGTTGGGTGTGTTACTGCATCCTGGTAAAAAGATTTTGTAGAAATTTTGCTAATGTCAAAGTATATTGTTGGATGAATTATAATCTTGAGTACTGTGTAGATAAAAGAGTTTGTCGAATGGAATAAAGACTTATTTAATCTTATATCTTATCTTCTATATATATAAAAATGGATTGCTGTTCCTTAGTCTCGCTAAAACTCGAGAACAGCTGAACGGATTTATCTTATCTTAGTCTTGAAATGTTCGTGGAGGTTCAGGGAAGGTTTAAAAGCTGAAAATAATTTAATCATTTCCCGAAAAACCATAAAAACAGCTCTTTTCTATTTCCCATACCAACGTTTTTTTTGACATTAGATTTGACAACTAACTAATATGTCAATGATTCTGTCGCACTTCAAAACACGGAGATTTATAGCTTACAGGTAAACACCAAAAAAATTATTTATTTATCGATTGAGGCAGTACGAAGTTTGCCGGGTCAGCGAGTTATATATATAATGTTTTATACGAAAAGTAACCGAAACGTCGGTAAAATATAGTTTTGAAACAAAATACGCGTAGAAATCTAGATACCAACCCGTCTTGAGCGTGGTGATTAATGCTCAAACCTTCTCCATGTGAGAAGAGCCTCAGCAGTGGGCTCTGATAGGCTGATGACGAATTTGGATAATTAGTTTAATTAAAATGAAAACTCCGAAGTCCTAGATCTCCTTAAATTGTTATTTTGCTATTTTTAGCTACTTTTATTAATATGACATTTAACATTTTGGTAAGCTAAACTCAAATGTCAGAATTTAAATAAAGGTATACATTTTCGGTGTACACTTTCCGTTCACATAATCTTATCAGATTTGCTTTTTATAGCCGTAAAAAAACTATTTAGACGTTGAACTAAATAGTAGAAGAAATATATTTTGATAATCCCTACTAATATTATAAATGCGAAAGCAACTCTGTCTGTCTGTTACGCTTTCATGCCTAAACCACTGAACTGATTTTAATGAAATTTGGTACAGACATAGAGTTGACCTTGAGAAAGAACATAGGATAGTTTTTATCCCAGACTTTTGAAAGGTTCTCTTGGAAACGCGATATAACCGAACTCCACGCGGGCGAAGCTGCGGGCGGGAAGCTAGTATATATAAAATTATTATTTTATAGATTAATGTTGCCAGTTTATTAATTATTTAATATTTATAGAAATTGTTATGGTGATAAAAATGAGATTATTAAAAAAGTTAAAATAATCTATTGAATATACAAAGGAAAGTGTATTAATAAAAGTATTAAGAACATTATCTTATATATAAAGAAAGTCATGTTAGTTACACTATTTATAACTCTAACGACTGTACGGATATGGATGAAGATTGGTGGAGAGATAGATTAGAACATAGAAAGGACATAGGATATTTAATTCTATTCGATCGAAAAGAAAATATACTTAAAAAACTAAAATATTTCGTTATTTACTTCCTCTAGGGCGGAATAGAGTTCGCCCGGTCAGCTATACATATATTACTCACTAAAAATAGGTTCGTAGTAGATTTGTACGCGGTAGAGGTTGGAGCGAGAGGTATAACAGATAAATCTCTCTACAACCTACTAAAAGACTTGGGCCTGTACAGAACTAATATTAATACATTCTTGGAAGGCATTCGAAGGTAGCCCTAGTAGGTTCTTTTTAAATTAAGTAGAGAGGAGCTTGTACAGTGGAGGTGATCGTTTAACGTTAGATAGGGTCCCTTAAACCTACACCTGGGTCACAAGTACCAGTCACTGTTGAAGCTCCTCTCACTACAACGATGGACCCGACACACGCACCGTGAATACATGGAATGATGAGAGGAGCTTGTACGGTGTAGGTGATCGTTTAACGTTAGATAGGGTCCCTTAAACCTACACCTGGGTCACAATTCGGAGTTTAACGCGGACGAAGTCTCGGGCAAAAATTAGTTTTTATATATATCCTATTTTTATAGCCTATCCTGTATAAATTTCTACATGTTACATAAACCAAAATTACATATTTTCATCTATTCCTTTTATTTATAGAAAGATTAATTTTGTCAGACTACATCCATTTTAATTTTATTTTCTTAAACCATTCAACGAATACAGTTATACAATAAATTATAGTAGTCTTGTTATTGATTTTCAATAATTTTATTGTACATGTTCACGAGACTTCATCATAATGCATAAATCTTTTTATGATAAACCGGGATAGTATGTGCCTGGCACGGAAACCAAGTTCAAATATATTAAATATATTATATATATCATCATCAGTCTATCAGAGCCCACTGCTGAGCCTCTTCTCACATGGAGAAGGTTAGAGCATTAATCACCACGCTTGCTCAAGACGGGTTGGTGATTACAAACTTATAATTTGATATAAGTCCATGTTTCCTCACGATGTTTTCCTTCATCAGTCAGTGATGTCTAAATACTCTTATAAAGTACATATGACTCGGAACATCACATTGGTACTTGACAGGATTGAAGGAGTTTGACAGAGTAGAAGCAGATTGACAAATTGAGTTAAAAACTAAATTATTTTCTGAATTAAATTGCGTTTAAAGTAATTTCGATCACATTTAGTAATTATTTAGTATTTAATATATTACTGAGTGTGAAAAAATTACGTTAAATGTCTTTAATATAGAAATATTTCGACTTAAACCTTCTCCTGTCAATATATATACACATATATATATGTTTGTGTGTGTGTATCAAAAATTAGTTCCAGAGGAAACTATTATCTTTTCTATACTAGTTTTTGCTCGCGACTTCGTCAATTACCCTTAAATTTCGTCTTGAATTTGTTAATCAAAGGATAATGGTATTTATTTGTATAGAAATAAAGATTACTTTATACTGAATATAACTGTTAAATATTATCCTATATCTGATCTACATTACTGCAAAGTTTCATCAAAATATGTTTAATAGTAAAAAAAATCGTCAATTATATTAGTAGGGAATATTTGAATTAATAAGGACTATATTGCGCAAAAAATCTGTTCGTTATATGAGATGGCATTAAATTAGAATTTTATTGTTTTTATAATCTTTTGGTATAGTTTTAAAGGAAATACATAATCTGTGGAACTGTGTTAGATATTTTGATGACAGATTATATAAATGAGATTGGACCCTTAGGTATTGGCTCGTTTTATGTATTTATGTACCGAACCCTAAAAATGATAATAATTCACTATTGACGTGATAATAGTATTTCTATATAAAGTTGTTAAAGGAAATGGAATATATACATGTACAGGGTGACTGGTGAATTACTATCAATACATGAGGACGTGATATTTGACGATCATATATGACAAAATAAAAATTAATATAACATCAATATTAATAAACTTCTAAGTAAAGTTAACCAAAAGTTATGTAATTAATTACGCATCGTGTGAACACCCTACAGATTAGGTATACACACACACGTGCGGCGGCGTGGTGTTGTATGTATGTTGTCCACACTTGGAACACTTGGAACGTGTACACACTTTATTTATTTATACGGAAATTTGGTAAAAAATTAAGTACCAATTTTTTTACATGATTCGAATGAGAATCATGTACCGAGTATGCTCCTTAAATATTGATAGTAATTCACCAGTCACCCTGTATATCTAAAATAGAATTAGGAGAGTCGTATCAGGAGTAAAACCATTTTTCTCACACTGTAAAGCTGAAATAGGTATATATGGTACAATCTTCGTGTCCCCGTATAATTTACCTGGCGGCGCGGTTGGTGCGATTTCCTTTGGCGGCGCCGTGTTACTCTTGCCGAAGGTTGTCAACGCCTCAGACGATAAACCGGTAAGCCAGCCAGCTAAGAGCAACGGCAGAATTGCAGCAGCCGCCTGCCGCCTGCACCACATCTCGACCCGCAAAAACATATTTATACCCCACCTTAACTTACTATATATATATATATATATATATTCCCACAACTATAGTTGACAGAAAATATGTGAGAAACAGCTCACTCGTCGCTAGTTTAAATAATAATCAATAATTAAGTTTCAAGTGACAGCCTAAAATTATCTAAATTAATCATAAAAACCAGCTGTCAATTATAATAACCAATGTTATATATATCTTCTTCTACCTGGCAATTTTTCAGTTACAGCCAGGGCCTGCCTTACATGTAATAGTTTCGGCTAATTGTTTTTACGCCTGGCATCAACACTCTTTGGGAATGCATTATAAAGTCTAAATACTCTAAGTACATATGATTCGAAAAAATCACATTATGTAGTACATATATTTAATAAGAATTATCGTATTTTTATTATATATTATTTGTCAGTCGTTCCTGGCCCTGGCAAGTACCAATGTGATTTTTCCGAGTCATATGTACTTTAAGAGTATTTAGACATCACTGATTAATGCATTCCCAAAGAGGGTTGATGTCGCAGGCGTAAAAACAATTAGCCAAAACTATTCATGTAAGGCAGACCCTGGCTATAGCTGGGAAATTGCCAGGTAGAAGAAGATATAGTTTGTCAGCTGATTTTTATCCTTTATCCAAAGTCAAGAATTACAAGATGTGGTATAAAGCTTGGTTGTTAATTATCTTACCGGGTGAAGCCGTGGTTGTTGGAGGTTTTGGTGGTTCTGTGTTCGCTTTCCCGAAAGAAGATATTCCGAAACCATTAATATTTACGATATTTATCATAAATAATATGTAAATACACCACATTGTCTGATAAAAGATTGTATTGAGTGAAATGCATCGTGATATGGCGGTTGAAGCGCCATTTTGTTTTTGTTTTTTTGTTTTTCGTGTGTGTATAATTATTATGTATGTGTTTGAGTTGTTTTAAATGATTTTTGATTCAGCATGATTCAATTGTTAATGAATGTGACTATTTTCTGTTAATTTTCTGTATTTTTTGTGTTTTTTGATAGTATTTTTGAAGTAAGTTAAATTATAAACCGAGCTTCAATAAATTATTTAATAATACCACATCCTGACTAAATATTTTTGAATTTGGATAAATTATTAATCTATTTATCTGTGCGTTTGTAAAAAATATATTTATAATTTATTATATTCTTTATAACGTACAGATAATTATAAAATTAATGATTTCATGATAATGATAATGATTTTCTTTTGATTTATAATGATAGAATAAAGATGTATTGTTAATAAAATATCTTTTTTAATATATAGATAATTAACAATACATTCTATTAAATGTAGCTATTAGCGTTATTTTTGTTTAATTAAAATAGTTATTTGACATTACTATACGTACATTTGACATTTAAATTTTGTATAAAGGGTGGCATATTGAATATAAAAAAGTTTTTTTTAATATATATAAAATATATGATTTGGCTATTTTTATATTTATACTTAATGTGATATATTTTAAAAAGAATATGTATATATAATTTATTTTTAACACTAGGATATATGATTAATTACTTTATGAAATACACAAAAAAAGTATTTCATAGAAAAGATAATGGTTTTTAGAAAAGAGATTTAAAGTAAATAAAATATTATATTTTATTCTTTACAATAACGCTAATAGCGTTAAAATGGAATTATTATAAATGGAAAGTGCAAAGCTTTATATGATGTGCAATTTTTTTTTGTCATTCTCGTCTTAAAAATTAGCAAAATACTTTGCTAATTTAGAAGACTATTAAATGCGTTTGTGCTCAGAAGCGGCAGTGAAAAAAAAATAAAAGAAAAAAATTCAATGAAGAAAGACCCAAAATGATCATTAACAAAGACCCATTATTATAACAAAAAACAAAGGAAACTAAAACATCATTGCGAAAGACCCATGAATGTAATAAAATTTAAACCATCATTACGAAAGACCCATAAATAAAATAAAATTTAAACAATCATTACGAAAGACCCATGAATATTATAAAATTTAAAGAATCATTACGAAAGACCCATGAATATAATAAAATTTAAATAATCATTACGAAAGACCCATGAATATAATAAAATTTAAAGAATCATTACGAAAGACCCATGAATATAATAAAATTTAAACAATCATTACGAAAGACCCATGAATATAATAAAATTTAAACAATCATTACGAAAGACCCATTATTATAATATACATATAAACACAATAATGACATAAGCGTGCCGCGTGCTTTTTTTTTAATATCTGTCATTTAGATAGCGTTTAACCAGAGACAAACTTTTTTTTTTTATTTATTTCTTTTAATTCAGTTTTAATCACAGTGCCGGTATAGTTTAGTTACTTTGTGCTGCGGCGCTCGACGCGGTACTGACGTGAAGGCGTTCTTACACCAAGAACTTTCTTCATATACAGAGTGTTTGAATAATTAGTTATATTATTATAATATTTTCAATAAAAGTATATTTTTTGTGGAATATATTTAATTTACAATATGATAGACGCTAAAGACTAGTAATGATGTTAATATTATATATTGACATTACTTAAATATAATAAAAATTACATATCTTTTACTATTATAATTTATATAAATAATAAATGAAAACTATATATATAAATAATTTAATATAAATAAATCATTTTTTGAACATCCTGTATATATTTATCAAATTAAGTCAAGCAGGACTATGGAGTGACTCGCAGGAATCCGAGTCGGTGTTACCATTAAATAACTTACACAAAGAAATGAAAAGAATATTAATACATATTACTTAATGTATACATTATAAAGAATACAATTTATTAAATAATCTATTAATTATAATTATTAATAATTATTTTAATATATATATAATTAAATATATTTTTTTGATGTCTCTAAATTGACATCTGTCATGTAAATAACCTATTATTGAATTTAGACAATTTATTATTGAAAAAAAGTCCTAAAATTACTGCCAAAAAGATGACTATTACATAAATTTTGTAATATTTTCAGAATATATATATTTTATATCACAAATAACGTATGTCCATAGTAATTATTACTAATATTATAAATGAAAAAGTAACTCTGTCTGTCTGTTACGCTTTCACGGCTAAACCACTGAACTGATTTTAATGAATTAGTACAGACATAGAGTTGACCTTGAGAAAGAACATAGGATAGTTTTTATGCCAGACTTTTGAAAGGTTCTCTTGGAAACGCGATATAACCGAACTCCACGCGGGCGAAGCTGCGGGTTGAAAGCTAGTATATATATATTAGTTTACAGCGGGTTCTGTTCATAGTAAATTGATATGCACGCTGAGTAACGGCGCGTGGCGTGATACGGAATCATTATGGGCACGCGATTTTTTACAACCTTTATTATATATATGCTAATATTGTCTTGAAATATATATACTGGCTTTGGCCCGCGATTTAGACTGAAGTTATACAGGGTGACTGGTGAATTACTATCGATATTCAAGGAGAATACTTGGTACATGATTCTCAATCGAATTATGTAAAAAAATAGATACTTAGAAGTTTATTAATATTTATGTTATATTAATTTTTATTTTGTCATATATGATGGTTAAATATCATGTCCTCAAGTATCGATAGTAATTCATCAGTCACCCTGTATATTGTTTCAAAACCTATATTTAGAAGCTTCCTTTATAATTTATTTATTGATTAACTTTTAATTGTTGTCTGTAATCTATTTTAAAGTACTTACATTGGATAGTATGATACATTAATAAAAAATAAATATACTAAACTTTTACGTAATTTTCATGTTTTATTTTATTTATCTCAATAATTTATAACATCCTTTTATTATCTTTGTTTTAATATATTTTTATCGTAATAATATAATTGATGATAATATTTAAATATTTCTAAACCTTATTTTAAGTTGTTACGTCTTTCCAAGGTCGTGTTTATACAAACAAAATGGCTGACTTACGAAGTTACGAGTAAATTGCTATTGACATTGCTATTTTCTATAATCATGTATAACAATATATTTTAGAATCATTATGTTTCGTTTTAAAATAACTTATTTTCTGTATATCTTCTTTTTGCAATTTCCCAGTTAGCCAGGGTATGCCTTGCATGTTGTGAATAGTTTTGGCTAATTGTTTTTAACGACCGGACGCCTGCCTGACATCAACCCTCTTTGGGAATATTATTATTACTCTAGCAGCGTTCTTAGAGTAACGATTTTATTCTAAAATTATTTTGATGATCACATATAGCAATTGTTATTTTTATGACTTGTAATAATGTTTCATTTGAAGATATTTTTCAGAGAAAACACGTTTTTTTATCTAAATATTAAGACTGTAATTGACGTAAAAAAATAATTTCTTATTTTATATATACTTCTATTTTTTATGTGTTTTAATGCTGATAATATATAAGACGAGTATTCATTTAAATTAAACTAATATTTTCGTATACTACTCGTATTTTATTATTTTAACTACATACTACAGACGTTTCGGTTACTTTACAACCGTGATAATTAAGACGAGATTTTATATAGTTTTATTTATTGGTATGTTTTTATTTAAATACATTTTTACTAAAACACTTTATAGAAAGAACAAAAATATATATGTATGTATATTTTTCTTTTTACATACTTATATAGCCTACATGCAATTCCATCCCTACTATTATTATAAATGCGAAAGTAACTCTGTCTGTCTGTCTGTTACGCTTTCACGCCCAAATCACTGAACTAATTTTAATGAAATTTGGTACAGACATAGAGTTGTCCTTGAGAAAGAACATAGGATAGTTTTTATCCCAGACTTTTGAAAGGTTCTCTTGGAAACGCGATATAACTGAACTCCACGCGGGCGAAGCTGCTGGCGAAAAGATTTCTACATAAATAAGAATAAGGGTATAAAGTTACTTTATAATGACTTTTGTCTTGAAAATTATAAGTTAAGTTAAGAAAAAAGCCTTCGTCGTACAGATGAAAGGAAAATAT